CTTTAAGTTTTTGGTTCCCCTGCTGTTGGTTTTGCTGTGTTTTCCCAGCTAATCTCACATGTAAATTAACAGCTAAATTGTGGCGACAGCGCGACCGCAACGAGCACAGCTAACAGGACAATGACAGCAAGGACTCAACAGTGGGTGATAGTCAGCTGTGCACCCCACTCCACCGCAAGCAAAGTTAAACAAAGGATTACACACACACCCATTGTCTGATGTGACTTAGTGCGAGTGAAAGTTTATGGCATGTTGTATTGAATAATTAAATTTTATTGATCGCGATTGCGTACACACCCACACACACACACACACACACGCACTTTGTGTCTGCCCCAACATGTTTATTAGTTTCAGTGTGGCATTTAAGGCTTGCAGGCGGCTGGTTATTGTTAAAAATACGACACATAATTATGTTAGTAGATAAGATGTATGTGGTATATACTATATATCTATATACCAAAGTTTATCAGGGCGTGTTTGTGTGCGTTGTTTATTCAGCCGTTGGGCGCTAATAAAGTTAATGTGAACGCTAAACAGCTCTGGCTCTGGCCATGACTGGTTGTTGTTCTTGTTGTTGTGATTGGCCCTCATGACCCGTCAGAATGTGCGCTAATTGCCTTTTAAGCTGTTGACTTAACCCTCGGTGGCTTTGCCTTTGGCATAGTTAACATATCGCAAGGATATACGCTATCAGATTGTAAGCTTAAGATGTTGCTAAGTGTGTCAAGAAATACACGAGGGAATTTTACAATTACACACACTGTATCCCATAAAATTGTCACAGCAATTATTGATCTATCGTTGACATTTCATAGGAATAGTTTAACAAGTCTTTTTCCTTTCAAGTCTTGTATTTTTAAGAATTTGAAAAGAGTCTGCCTGATCTTATTGCACTCATTCATGTTAAGCTTATGTTAATTACAGTTCTTATCGATCTCAAGTGTTTAATTCAATGAAAATTTGGCCTATTTGCCATTCTATAATTCGACTTTAATGAACGTCTTTTTTCTTTTCAAGTCTATATGAGTCTTCTTTTTTTCTAACAATTTGACACGAGTCTGTCCTTTCTTCCATTCATTTTCATGATCTTAATGAACTCACTCTGTTAAGCCTATGTTAATTACAGCTGTTATCGATCTCTAGTTTCTCGAGATGCAACCGTATCTATTAAATTGCATTGTGTTATTTGCTTAATGCTTAATGAAAACTTTGCTTATTCGTTTTTTATAAGTCTAGTTTAGCGAACGTCTTCTTTCTTCTCAAGTTTCACATTCATACTTAATGCATTCATTCATGTTAACCTTATGTTAATTAGAGGTATTATCGTTCTCTGTGCAACCGTGTCTGTTACATTGCTTATGTTATTTGCTTTGCCATATTTAAGCTACATTCTTGCAAGCTTAAGCTAAATTCTTGCTAAAAAATATGAGGGTGCTCGGTGTTTTTTAAGCGATCCCACAATGCCAGGTGAGCGTCTCTCTCACTGAGCTCTAATGAATTATGAAAAACGACTAAACCTGGCTACACAAAGGATAAACGAGCAGCTAAGCTGGCAACTAGCAACTGGCAACTGGCTGTAAGCCGCATGCGGAAGCCAAAAAACAAATGCGGCTGTTGCTGTTGCTGACTAAGTGCAACGGTAAATGGGAGAAACAGCAGCGGCAGCAAACTGATTAAATATCCGGCCTACATTTGCATGGCAGGCTCAAAGAGTCAGCCGAGTGAGCCGAGTATATTGCCGTAGTTCTTGTTGGCAAATGTAATTTGTAGAACAAAACAAACAGCAGAGCTGCAAAGCCCGCCAGGACGAAAGGACGACAGGATGTCGAGCAGGTGGCTGCGTGGCGCGAAACAAAAGCCGCTGCTGCTACGGCTGTTGGCACTTGGTGTTTGTCTTTGTACAGCAGCAACAGCAGCAGGATACGCAGGACAATACCTTGCAAAGCGATTACCGGCTCAAGGATTTCAAGATTTAGTCAAAGGAGGAAGCAGGAAGCAGGAAGGAGCAGAGGGAGCGAGTGGGAGCAAGGCAGCCAAACTTACCTCGTAACGTGTGTCGATCTCAGGCAATTTCTCTAGAAACTCTTCAACCATCTTACGCTGCACGTGTGTCGACGCACACACACAGACACATATGTATATATATGAGCACCACACGTGTGTCTGTGTACACACACAATCAGAGAAGGAACATTAAGCAAAGGAAACTAGTTAAACAATGTTAATGTAAACGGGCAAAAAACACCTGTTGTTTTATTTATTGTTTCTCTGTCTTTGTAGTTTTGCACTTTGTTGTGAAATTCGCTTGTTGTTTCTTCTCTTAATTAATTTGCACTTTTTTTTCTTGTTTATTATTGTTGTCTTTGGGATTGTCGTACAAAATTTGGGCGCTATTTTTAGCTAGCACACACCCAATGAGAAGTGAGGCTTGCCTCAAATTCTTCGTCGTTGTCGCTTCAAGTGAGTGGTGTGTGCGACTGTGTGTGTGTGCGGATGTGTGTATGTATTGTGGATGATGATGTTGATGTGGCCAGCCACACGCTGATGCCCGTTCACAGTTCAGCACTAACAACAAACTGCAGAAAAACAAAACATTTATAGGCCTGCCTGGCTGCCTCGCTGCCTCGCCAACGAAGTCCGGAGCGGATACGAGCAGCAGCCTCAGTTGCCTCCCTGAGATAACACGAAGCAGCGAAGAGTGTTTTGTGTACTAAAAACTGGCCAGCATCAGAGAAGTTCGACACTTTGCCGAACAGCAGCAGCCAGCAGCAGCAGCAGCCAGCAACCGACACCAAAAACCGAAGCAGCAACTGAAATGTTGCATACTTTTCAGCGCCGACGCGCGCTTTTCGAAGGGGCAGCTGAACCAGTAGCAAGTGGCAAATAGGAGCTGCAAAAGAGCAGCAGTCGCAACAACTCCTGTATGTATAATAACTTTTTTGCCTACTCCTCAGCGTGACACACTTTTCGCAACTTCCAAAAGCTTTTGGGGCCCCCTTCAAAAAAGCATCGAAACTCAACTGAGACATTTTTTTAGCACAGAGCTTGCAGTTTTCGGCCTGTGAAATGCAAACTAAAACTAGCAGTGAAAAGCTACAAGCTTAAGAGTAAAAGGCTTAAGCTAAAAGCTGAAGTTGTTTGTGGAGCTGTTTCCTGGCTTAGAGTGTTTTCCATCCACTCGTTCATAATTTGCAGCTAACGAAGGCGGCGCCGGCACTCAACTAAGGACAACGAGCAAACTCAACCCGTCTTCCTGATTCTATTGTTTATCTTGTTGATCCCACTTAAAAAAGGGTGAGCAAAACTCGAGTAACATTTATATAGCATTGGTACCCATTCCGAAGTACAATGCTTTAATATTTTTAAATAAGTCCTAACCATTTTTGTTCACTTAAAATCAATTGTTAAAGTTAGATTAATATATTCAAAAGCTCTTGAGTCACTTTCAAAATACTTAAGCAGGTTTCATGATTTGCTTTCGGATTTTAATCAAACATTTTAGATCTGTTAAATAAATAAGTTCAGTCTGTGCTCGCCTTAAGTGGCAAACTGAGCCACTTTGTTTGAGGCAGATCGCATGGAAAAAAGTTGCACTTACCGAAACCATTGTCGTTTATTTAAGTAAACAATAAAAATGGCAGTGTGTCCTGTATTCGTGTCCGCACGCGCTGACCCACGATAACATACTAACATTTGTCTGCTATTGCATGCAACAATTTGTGGCCAACACACACACACAGTTGAAAGGCGAAGGGACGAAAAAGGCCCCAATAGGCTTGTTGGAGCGACGCCACCCTTACCTTTAGCGCATCCAATTCTGACAACTAGATATCTATTACTGGGCTTGCAACAATATTTGTACAGTTTGTACAAAGTGACGTATGAAATGATTGGATGAAATTTTGCATGTCCTTCGGCCCAGCTGTAGAAAAGTACAATTGCCTTCATGCGGCCATTAAATATTTAATGATAAAGTCAGCACTTCACTCATCAAGTGTCGCTGGACAAATGGCAATTTTAAAGTTGTCTAAGGAATTACTTTTTAAATATCCCGCCAAATTTGAAATGGCAACATGCAAAAGCTGCTTGCTGCAGCACTGCTGTATATTCATAGCAGTCTTTAAGCTCACCACTTTGAGATTGTTTGTACTGCATACCAAGCAGTTCACTTTGTTAATTATTAACAATGTGAAAAATTAAAAGCATACTTTTAGGTGAACACTAGTGCACTAATACATATCAAGAAAGTAATATCCCTACACGAGGACCAACTCTAAGAACTATGATCATGCATTGTGGAGTCATCTAAGAACCGAAACAAATAGCAATCTGCAATTTTCAAAAAAGAGTTCACTAAGAGCACAGTTTCACATCTTTAAGCTGCTTGTCAACTAACGAAAGAAAGTAGTGCAAATTAGCAGAGTTACACACCTTTTAACTTCTTAGCATACGCAGAAAGCAGTTTATTGGCGCGAGTTGTCTGCGTTTTTAACGCGTTTTTCATTTATGGTTATTGATACTAAATCCCAACAGAATCCGTTGGATTCAAAAGGAGCTCCTCTGTCGAACTGCATTCAAGGATAATGGGCTCAACAACTAGACACAATCAGATATTAAATACCAATGGAAATTCAATTATTTTCGCTTCGTTTTATTTTTCCTTTTACATTGTACAATTTGTAAGTTCATTTTTTATATGGATTTTTTTTTCTTGTTTTCTCATATATATGTTTGTGTGTATATATAATTTCTGACAAACTTGAACATTTAGTTAATTTCATTAGACATTTATAAATTTCATTTGTTACAAAGATTACATTTTTTTATTTTATTTTTTGTTTTTCGTTCCTTTTTGATATTTTTGTGTTGTTGTTAACGTTCCTGGCTTTTTAAATGTTCCCACTTGAAATCTTTTATCTCGTTTTGTCTTTTTTTTTTGTTTGTGCTGCGGCTGAATATAAAATGTCCATTTTGCCAAATAGTGCATGCAGTTGAAATTAAAAATATGAATGATATAGTTATTTAATTGCTATAGATGAGTACAAAAAATACATTGGTAAGTTTCTCATTGCCATCGACATCATTTGATTTATAATAAGTACAGATTACAGATCGAATCAATTCATTTGATTTTCATACTAAACATATGTCATGCTTTGCTACACACTTTATAATATCTTCTACCGATTCCCTATATATATATATATGTATATATACGGAATAGGGATTTGTTGTTGTTGTTGTTGTGCTTGATATACGAATATTGTGTGTATAGTTTTGTAATTATCACCCAGAGAGAGGCTTCTTTGTATTTACTCTTCGACTTATCGCTTAGCTTTATCGTTATGCTTCAGTTATACGCTATATCAAATATGATACGAATGATTGTAGGCAGGTGGTTGGTGGTTCACTTGACTTACAATATATATACCATCATCTTCATCATCGTCATCATCATCATCATCATAATCATCTACTCCTCTTCAGCTCAGCTCCATGCCAGATGCTAACTAACATTTAAAACAAATAAGTGTTTTAGATCTATGTTTAACAACTAAAGTAAAGTACAGCGAAATCCTAAACAAAACAGCCAAAATATAAATTGAGGATATTCCTATTTTCAAGCTTTTCAAGCTAGCTCCAACCCGTATCCGATGCCCCATCCCCATCCAACGTTTCCACCATCTGTGCGTTTCTGTGTGGCAACGTGTAGTTCTGCGCCGCATACAGTTGCCACAGTGCTCCAATCTGGCTGGATGAAATCGTGTGCCACGTGAACAGAAATTCCAGCTGATCGATATCACGCTCACCGCTCAGCAATCGCTGGCAATCGTCCACGTAGAGGACGAACGGGTGCAGCGTTGTGATCGTCGTGTTCGTCTGCTGCGCCAGGATGCCCGTGATGTGGACGTCGTCCACCCAGAAGTAGGCCGCGTGCTGGGCGGCCTGGTAGAGACGCTGCACCACATCCGCCGAGTAGACAATCGCAAAGCCCGGACAGTACGGCGGATAATAACTCTCGGCATATTCTCGGAAGCTGACACGCCATTTGGACTGCAAGAAGTCAAATTATATTTATTTATTCAATTTAATGAATCGAATCGAGAGTACCGTAAAAATACAGCCTATACTCACACGATAGGATCGCTTCACGCGGGAGGCCATCACTGGACGACAGAAGAGCAGTTCCCGCCGCTGCTGGAGCAGTGACGCCAACGTTGATGGCGTCGCCGATGTCGACGACGTCAGATTCGAGTTGAGAGTTGGCGGTTCGCGGAGAAGAAGCAACTTAATCAGCTGTGGCGTATTCACAAAGACATCATCGTCCACCTTGATGAGCAGCTGGGCATGCGAACAATTGCTGTTGAACCATTTGAGGGCCATCACATGCTTGTACGTCATATTGCGATAGGCATCCTGAAAATTGCCCTGCACCATGTCCCTGTGCCGGGCATTCTCCCGTTCCAGCGAATGCTGCAGCTCCAACTCATCGGCGGGCACAGCGCCCAGCAGGAAGACAAGCCGCAGCGGTGATTGTGACGTCATTGGGGCTCCGCCCCACGACTGACGGATTAGTGAACGTTTCTCTGCATTCTTCGGCGCCGTATGCACAAGGATTAAGGCGAGGATATGCGATTCACACGCCGGCTGCTCCATCAAATAGCCAAAATGGTGCAAATCAATCAACTGATTGGCATCTAAGGCCATTTCTGATGGCTCTGTTGTCATTGATGTTGTTGTTGATATAGGCGTGGCCGCCTTGTCTAGACTAACTACTTGGCTAGGACTATTATAATAATTAGAATACGAATAATAATAATAACTACTAAGGTTGCTACTAAGTTGCTGAGTGCGACTAGGGTCGTGTATTTGGTTTGGTTTACTACTACTGCCGTTGGCACTCGATTGCAATTGTTGCTGTTGTTGTTGTTGTTGGAGCTGTTGCTGTTGCAGCTGTGTGCTCAGTGTGCTCAGTGTGCCTGCCTCATCCGATTCGAGCTGTTGCATGCTGACCAGCCACAACACAAAGCACACGTTCACACAGATGATGAGGCAGCAAAGCGAACGTTTATCCATTGTAATATTGTTGTTGTTGTTGCTGTTGTTGTTGGTATTTTTAACTACACCCATTTGGCTGCTGCTGCTGCTGCAGCTCCAGCTGCTCCTTGGCCTGATAACGTTTTCTGCGTGCCTTTGCCATTTAGTAATTAACAATCGACCTAGCTAAAAGAAGAAAAAACAAATAGATAACAAAAAAACTCGAGTTAATTGCGTCACATGTTAAAAATAATCCAAGTGAATTTGACTTATCATCGAAATATTATCCGCGTTGCCATCAATCAGACAAACACCGAGGTGCAAATGAGAAATAAAACATTAATTTAATTGAGCACGCCACATGAACGAAAAAAAAACTATAGATAACAGAGGGGGGAGTGGGTGGCTGAAGGGTGTGTGTGTGTGTGTGTGTGTGTTACAATTCAATTATGTTTGCGCTTGTTGGCAAATAAGTTGCCCAAAGGATATTCGCCTTGTCACAACTCGAGTCCTGGCTATTGATAAATGCGACCAGTGATGAGCACTTTGGCAATATTCTAGCTAAATTTTTTGCTAGATTTGATAAACGAATCATAACTGCTTATAACTAGATAAACGAGAGAGAGAGAGAGAGAGAGAGAGAGAGAGAGAGAGAGAGAGCGCTGCTAACGCTGGCTATGTGGATATGTAAATAAAACTAACAATAAACTATTTATATTTCTTAATAAGCCACGCAGGGCTCCAAATTCAAACATATTATAAATTCACAATCAATTCAACGTTCTTTGCTGCTGCTGCCAACAGCAATAATATAAATATATTTACATACATACATTTTTGAAAGTATAGACTCAAGCATTTGATGCTGGATTTGAAATACCTTATCAATACAAAAAAAAAGAATACAAGGTTAATCATTAAATATTCATATTTTTCGCCTATACTTCAATTTAGATTCAAACGTTTAACTTCCATGCTAAGCCAAATCTCAAATAGTTGCACAATCTACAACAAACAAACATGTAAATAATCTTAAAATAATATTGCTGAAGGCTTTGCTTTGACGCCCCTTAAGCTCGATTGTTCTGTAAATTGTTATATTTACTAATAATAAAAACTGATTGTACCACTAGCCACGAGCTCAGGCAAACATTATTTAAAATAAATAGAAAACGTTGATAAATATATTGGATGTTTATGTTTTTGGGTTTCAGCAACAAAGAAAGTATCCCGCTTTATTGGACTCATTCTTTATTGTATATATATTTTTCAATGTTTTGTATTCTTCGTAAAAGTTATAAATGAATTTTTAATTAGAATCAAAATAAGATTGCATGGGGAATACATATCAATATACTTTACTATATTGCTTTAATATTTCTTCTCTACTGGATATCAATTAAATTATAAATTCTATAAATTCATTAAATGACGACAATCTAGAGTTTCCTCATGCTCAGAATCAATAATTCACTTACTCACACAGCTATTAAGCACAGTTGGCGCAATCGTTGACGATTTGCTGTTGCTATTGGCACTTCAAAGCTATTGTTAATTATTTATTCTTGTGAAATCTGAAGCAATAATATTTATTTTCCGAGTAATAACATCAAATATTGCCACCCCTCTGCTCAACTTGTTACCAATCACAACTCTCAGCATTCAAGCGATAAGCCTTATCAAATAAAAAAGGGGCAACTTAAGGGCTTAACCCTGCTTACTTATGTACACAAGGCCAATAGCCTCGATTAGAATTGCATTTACATTTATATATAAATCAAAGTATAAATTGCCACAACCAATTCACATGAATAAAATACGCAATTAAAATAAAATTGCCATTATTAATTCACGTGCAAAAAATCACATAATTTATTTAAAACTCACATAATAAATTCGCGTGCAAAAAGATAAAAAAATTGATTTGCCGACGAGTTCCTGTGCACTCTGCAATGCGGTAGGCTTTCCACAAACTGAACTGAATCAAGCATTAAACACTAACTACCAAGCACGATAACTTAATCACTGATCCCGTATCGCTCAACAGTTTGACTCAATTTCCATAAAAATATACATAGACAAAAGAGCTCAACGCTATTTGAGTTGTGAAATACATTGTTTCTGATAACCGCGATACACAATACAAATCAGTGTGCTCACAAACAAAAACTAATCAATAAATGGCAACTATTCCGCAAATGCCAACTTAAGATTAAACACGTATCAGTTGAGACACATTCAATCACAATCAAAATACTAACTGGCAGTATAATTAATACGTAACAAGTCAATTGCTACCCGTCCCCGACTCTTAAAAAATGTCCACGAATTATTGCTGTTTCTCACTTTCCGCTGGAGCCGTTATCTCATTGATAATGTATATTTCACAAATGTGGTAATAATAAGGCACAAGTACAACTGAAAGGTGATCCCAAGAGCAAATTTAGAACACGACGACGTTGTTAAGGAATCGAAAATAGACTGATGCCGCAATGCTTTGGCAGGTTCTTTGATACATTCTAAATAATCCTAAAGCTATTTATTCTTGTCTTACTTAGGACATTCTCTAGGTAGGTACATATTTACTGATGCAAAAGCGTCTAGACTCATTATCATATCAGTTGGGAGAGCACGGTCACGATGGGTGTCTGTTCACGTGTTTAACTATCTTCTCGTTCGAGTCGAGAGAGCTCGTTTTTAACTCATAGTTTCACCAATTCGATTCTTAACTTACTTGTTTGTAGGCTTGCTGATATTCAACTAATTAAACTTGTCATTTAAACCCTTTTCATTCAATTTGTGTTTATAAAATAAAACAAATTTGATCTGCGTGTGCAAATTGAGTGCCAATCGATATTCAGTTTTATTGTCAGCACAAAAATATGGTTACGCTTGAAAACCCAAAGGATATTCGTGAGCTGTGTGCAAAAACGGTTGCCCTTTTATAAAAATAGCAGATTTGCAAAGGACGTGGTTTGTTAGAATTGCAAGGACCACCTCGATCGCAATGCATTATATACATGGGTTGGCTTGACTGAATTTCGGTTGGTTATCCAAGAGTTCCTATATGACGCACTATAATAACTATAAATACGCAGCTGACTCTATGTGAATATCAATCATATAAAGACAAGTTTGGTAATTAGTTGCAACACAGTATCATATATATTTATATATACAAGTTAATCTGCTCTGTTGCATAAATTGCTGACAGCTTAACTTGTTTTTCTTTTTTGGCTGTTGTTTGCTTTTCGTTTTTAACGCAACTCTAATTCAGTCGCTATAAATATATATATAGATATATATTATATATATCTTACCTATTACAGCTTTTACAGTGGTTATCGCTTTTGCTAAGTGCCAATATATATATAGATATTCGCTCATGTGAGCGCCAAGCGAGGTGCTAAACACATTTTTTATTCCAGTCCGAATTTATAACAATTACATTGCCAGCCAGACACAACAAAACACACACACACACACACCTTGGCTGCACATGATATGAAAGTGTTGTTGCGCATTGAGAAAACAACATGAGAAATGCTTGTGAATTTGTTTTTCCCCGCATTGTTCCCCAGAGTGGCAACAAAGTGTTTTTGGCCAACAGCCAATTTATTTTAGCCAACTAGCAGTTAGGAACGGTGGACAAAGGGCGGGGGGTCTGCTGTCTGCTGCAAGTCAAAGCCTCGATAAACAAAAGACGATAGACGACAAACAAAAAAATGAAAATAACGAGAGCAGCAACAACAAAGTTTGAAGCGATACCATCTAACCTTCGACTTGAACAGAAACCAAGCCCAACAACACAAAATAAAAAAGAAAAACAACTGCAAAAAATGTTTGGCGCCGTTGCCATTATTTATCGAGTGCAAAATGCAAAAATAAACGGAAGAAAGCAGAAAACCATTGCCTGCCTGCCCAGCTACTCCACCCCTGACCATGCCCCTTTCTCTATGGGTGTGTCTGTGTGTGCATGTGTGTGTGGCAACTTGCGAGAGCGGCAAGTAGAGTAATTAATTGTTGCGAATTTATACTTTAGATTGCAATAATTGCAATGAAAATGAATGTTCGAATGTAATCACAGTGAGTTGCATAAGTCTACGTCCAATGTGAACAACAGTGAGTTACAAAAGTCCATTATTACGGATACAGTGAGTCACAGAATCGAATGTAATGTGTAATCCATACACACACAGTGGGTTTCAAAAGTCTAACATCACAACCAGCTTGGAACAGGCAAAAGTGGCCCAAGATCTAAGATCATTGACCTAAGCTAAATATCTATTAGGGTCTCAGACCGTAATTGGAATCGGAACCGTACTTCTGCCGATTGAAATTCACAATTGGAATCGTTATCAGAACCTAACTGAACCTGATATTATTTGGCCCGAAGAGACCGTATCGGAACCAAAACAAAACCAAAACTCACCAGCAATTTTGGGTTATGTGCCTCAGGTATTAGTGCTAATTAGTGCCACTTTCTCTTTTTTATTAACCAAAATTAATTTATCTTTATTAAGTTTTGTCTTGCTTTCTCTCCAAGTTTTTTAAGACTGCCTCAATAAGCATGGTTATTAAGAATTTATCATTTGCAATATAAACATAAATAGACAGAAAAATGTGGGAAGATTTATAGACTTTCAAAAATCGCAGATGTTTTCTATGAACGAACTCTGAAATATACCCACAGGCAGCAGAGAGTCAGAAAGAGAGAGAGAGAGATACCCATAGGCAAGAGAGTGAGAGAAAGAGGGGAAAAGAGCGAGAGATTGACCGAATATGTCTGTCTGCAGCTCTCGCTCTCTCTCTCTCGTTCTCTCTCTCTTTCTCCCACTCTCTATCTCTTTCTCTACCCCTATCAACAGTCTAAGCTGCACATAATTTATCAAGGCATATTTCTTGGCGCTGCAACTGACAAGCGCTCAGTTTGTGTCAAAGGTCACTCGGGGCTCGCTACTTGTAATTAGTTTTTTTTGTTCCTTTGGCCATAACTAAAAAGGCGTTTTGCAAAATGGCGCCGCATTTGCTTAAGTCGTCGTTGCCCCTCGTGCGTCGCCTCTTCAGTTATTCACTCTCTGCTGACGTCTGACGTCATCGCTTATGCAGCTTGTTGTTGGGCTGCTGTTGCTGTTGTTGTTGCTGTTGCGTGTGTTTTTTTTTTTGTGTTTTGGGCGAGGACAATT